CGGGAACCCGCCCGGTGCCCCTGGTCTGCTGGAGACGGTCTCCAGCAGACCAGGGGCACCGGAGCAGCTTACGAACGGGGCTTTCTCGCCCCGACTTCCGGGGCGAGAAAGCTCCGTTCGTAAGTGCGGATCCGACGTAAGTCGGATCCGCGTAAGTCGGGGACTGCCTGTAGTTGATGATTAAACTGGATTGACTCAGAATTTAGTAGCTGCCATGATAACTATGCGACAAAACGTAGTTTGTGGTCCCATGACCCACACTGTGCACTATGCTCTGATGTTGGGGATGGAATTCGATGTCAAAATGGTGGCAATTATACTTTTGTCACAGACTAATCATAATCTTCTTTATTTTGTGGATGAGGCACACCTATCCTGTTGAGACCATTCCACTAGTCACTGATTGGCAGAGCAGATCACACTCCAGCTCTGATCTCTCCATCCTTTGTCATATTGTCACATCATTCCATCACATTCTCACCCTGTGCTGGCACAAATTAGCGGTTTCCCCCCCCCCCCCTTCACTTGCTGCCTCTAGAAGATAGAGGCAGCAAAGAGCGGGGGGGAGGGAGGGGAGGAGTACTTCAAAGTGGCAGCACTGCACAATTGTGCGGCACTGCCGATTGAAACCCCAAGGTGGCGTTTCAAAGGGGCAGCCACCGCACAGCTGATCTCCAGCTCTGCTTTGCTCTGCTGCTGCCTCCAGTGTATCAAAGGGGCAGCAGTGGAGCCTGGGGTCAGATGGGGTCTCCCCAGCTGATCCCAGGCTCCGCGCAGCACTTCCCCAGAACCCAAGACGGGTTCCGGGGAAGTGCCACGTGGAGCCAGGGGTCAGCTGGGGAGTCCTTAGCTGACCCTGGGCTCCTAGAGGCATGCAGCATAGCATGGAGCCTGGGGTCAGCAGGGGATTCTGAGTCCCCCGTTGACCCCAGGCTCCCTGGCTTTGAAATAGACAATAGCCCCTGTTGAGGACTCTTGTGCATTTCAAAGCAGGCACCCATTTACAGCCCAGAGTCAGCAGGACTTCCCTCTGGCCTCAGGCTGTATGCGAAGTTCTGCATTCCTCCTTTGAAATGTACAAGAGCCCCACTGGGGGCTCTTGTACATTTCAAAGGAGGACTGTGGAGGTGCCTATCGACTAGTAGATGGAAATTCCATCCATTAGTCGATGTGCTAAGCATTTTAACATCCTTAGACTATGTCCTGTCCATGGGAAACAGGCATATGACCAAAAGGGGTGGGTGAAAACTGGGGGAATCTTCACCAGCCCCTTTAAGATGCTTTGGTGGCATATAGGGACCTTATAATGGAATAAGGATTTGGCCCAATGAAATTGGAAAGTTTTGTTCCAGATATTGTTACTTCAAGTGCCGAGAATTTTGAATGGGACACAGTAACATTTTTTATATATTTTTTTATTTAAAAATATTTTTATCCTGTCTCTCTTTAAAATATTCAAGGTGGCTTACAACTTTTTAAAAACACAATGCAAATACAGTATTACAGCAGTTTGTTATGCAAGTTCTAATATCTCTTAATTGTAGCTGACATTACCAAGTTTGAACAATTTCAGGTTTATTGGTAAAAATTTCTAGATTAGATATCATTTGGAAATTTTTTCCAGGATGAGACACACTATATGAATGTAAAATACTATCATTTCCATGCAAACGTGAGCAGTTGCAGGCTTTTGTAAGTGTTGTGATTTAACTAGTCATTACATTTAATTGGAAAATGGAAACAATAACTGACTATCCACACACAGATTCACCTTTACTAAATTTTATTACAATAGAAATCCTAACTTACTCTTTTTTAGCACAAATCCTCTGTGCATGTAAGAATGCATTCAATGCCAAGGGAGCCTTTTAACACTTAATTGTAAGAAGGAAGGATTAGTAAGAATTCATTTGCATTTTATCTCTATTTTTTCACTTTAAATTATGTTTCTTACAGACACAGCTGTCTCAGGCTTTAAATGGCGTTTCAGATAAAGCAAAGGAAGCTAAAGAATTTTTGGTTCAGCTGAAAAATATATTACAACAGATACAGGTAACTTTACAATACTAGTTGTTTTGATAATACAGGCAGTCCCCGAGTTACGCGGATCCGACTTACGTTGGATCCGCAGTTACGAACGGGGATTTTCTCGCCCCGGAGGACTGGAGCGGCGGGATGCCTGGTCCCGCCCCCCGCCTCCTCCTGGGCGAGAAAAGCTGCTCCCCATCTCCCTGGTCTGCTGCGGGAGCCAGCAGACCAGGGAGACGGGGACCAAAGCGGCGCAGGACCCGGGCCAGACCGCGGCGCTTCCAGCTGATCTAG